AGTCCGGTTGTCAAAACGACTCTTTGTTGGTGATCGGCTCGTGCTCGCCTCACTAAATAAATGAGTCGAACACGAACACACATTTTGAGCTCGAAATATAAATGAGTCGAACACGAGCTGAGCCATCTTACTGACACTGCTCACAACATCTTTAGAATTTATTTGATCTTTTATGAAGGATGACCAAAGTAACCTTGTCAAAGTATCTAATTTGCTAATGTTCGTCCATCGAAATGACTCTTGCACCCGCCTGAATGTGTTTATTTGAGGAATCTTGCCATCTTACTCTCTCACGCACGGTGCAGATAGAGTGAGGTGATAGATCGACAAAAGAGTCTGCCATCCTAAGTGCTCAAGTTTGTCTTGTATTGCTTGAGTGTTTGACCACTTGATGCATCTAAAAATAAGGACGAAGCTTCTGCACTTACATAATCAAAGCAAACATTTTTTTTTATATAGTACAATACATGAGTACCTCTCCTCTCAGGACTCGGCCGACATTATAGATTGAGAATTGCTTTTCTCAATCTTCACATAATAAGAACAAGCCGATTCACTCTAGTCTGAATCATCTGGCAGACAAGTCTTCTTCTGTAAATGTGATGGGGGAATGATGTATGATTCGCCATCAGGAAGAGGCGGCCATAGATAACTTGCCCGAGTGAAGCCTCTTCAAGCTCACATCTTGGGAAGCTTCAGTTATGTCCCCTCCAGGGATGACCAGGACAACTCCTGCAATGCATAAGGCATTAGGAAGGGTTGGCTCGTTTCGGTGTTTTTCAGCCAGAGAATTTTCTTGTCACTAAACGACATCTTCGGGCATGATCAATTCCTTCAACTTTTCAGCTCTACTGAGCTCCTTGATAAGAATTCAGAGATTTCGACACTCCTCGGTGTCATGTTCGTGACGCTAGTGGTAGGTGCAATACCTTTTTGGGTTGTAAGCATATCCTCCGACCTTCATTGGAGTTGGCTTTCAAAGAAGTACTTACTTTGGATTGCCTCAACTACTTTCAACATTAAGACCCTCAAAGAGGTTGATTGTGTTATCTCATGAGTCAGAGGAGGCGGTCTCTAAGAATAGTGATCCATCCGCTGCTCCTGATTATATGTCGTTCCCATGTTAGAGCGCATTGCCATCTTTAGCGTGTGTGCTAGCAGGTAAGGACAAGAGTAATATCATTATATTTTGATCATGTTAGTGGCCGTGTAGGATGACTTGGTTTCCATTTGGGAGCTTCTCTTCTCTGAATTTTGTGGCAGTACCTTAGTTATTTGGATGGTCGATGATGAGTTATATTCTTCCATCGATATGTGGTTGTCAGCGAGTTCCAACAACTCTATTAGTGTCTTTAAGTGCTGCTGCAGACCTAATACATAATGGAAGGGGTCATCTATCATTCCCTGAGTCATGGTTGTATAAGCAACCATTGGCTCCATCATCTTACTCTAGAATTGGCTTATGAAGGCGTACAGGGACTCTCTGCGTCTCTAGAGTAGCTGCAATAACACCTGGAAGCTATTTTTGGATTTTTGCGCACTAGCAAACTGCATTATGAGCATTCTCTTGAATTTTGTGAATAAGGTAACCACTCTTAGTGGGACGCTATTGAACCATAGGAGGGATTCCTTCAATGTCATGAAGAAGAGTCGGTTTTTCAATGCGGCGTTTATCCTCAATAAGCATATTATTGAATCAAAATAGATGATGCGATTAGATGAGTCAAATTTCCCTTAATTAGACTCTAGGGTCAGGATCTTGAAGCATTTGAGTGCTTCAGCCTCAAAGAAATGCCTGGAAAAAGCATTTTCTAGAGGATTATATTGCAACATATTGTATGCCTTTGTATATCGTGGGCTAGGGTGTTGATTTTGTGTTGTCGAGGTAGTATTTGTTGTCAATTACACTAGGGCTAATGATGGAGCTTTGCCAGCATTGGTGTTAATCTCCTCTGGCATGCAGAGGCTGCTACTTTGGATGGCGAAAGTATCCCCAGGGCAAGTGTTTCCCTGATCATTTCCACCGTCGGCTCCGAGATTTCTAGAATTTGTTGAGCGACAAAACCTTTGTACTTTCTCGATGGATTTCTTCTCCATATGCTGCCTTTTTTTTTATATTTGTGACATGATTTCACACTCACCGCACCTTTTATGGGTGTTAAACTTAAATTTATCCCTAAATCACGCCCAAGGAGCAGATTATAGATGAACAAAGAGAATGAGAATGTTTTGAGAAATGGAAGAGGAAAACAAATTGTAGGGAAGAGAAATCAGTGAAAAATACTCTGGTATTGAGATTTCTTTCTTCTTGAACCAAAAGGCCAAAAATCAGAGAACAGAAAGTCCTTCATTATATTAAATTTCATCAATTTATGGTGGTTAAGCCTTAGTGAAAAGGCATATATGTGCCTATACCACCAAAATTTTGAGGTGTGGCCCCCGTGAATCTTGGCCACCCCAGGTTGCCCTAGTTTATAACTCTGAGAAGAACTATCCTCGAGTTGATTCATGTGAAGAAGAGTTGCCAACTTCCGACACCTTATCTCGGGTGTTAAGTCGTCTGTTTATCCTTGAACAATGGCCTTCGACCACTCATCCATATGTCATCGAGCTCCAGGCACTCAGTTTTGGTCACTCGGCCTTGTTCACTCAAGCATTTCATTTTTCAAACTTATAGTCACGCACGAGAACCCCATTTACTTTTTCCATCCCCCTCAAGATGGCTCTCATCGATCTATGTCCTGGGTCATCTAATTCCCATTACTCTGAACCATCAAATTTGTGATGACCTGAACAACTGCTTTCTTGATATACTAGTGTGTTAAATTGTGAAACCAAAATTTTGTCCTAAGAAAAAAATATATCGTACATAATTAATCATGGGTTAGTAATTATAATTATTTCATTAAGGGTGGTTTGAAATTCTTATGAAATTTCAATTTCTATAGATTTGTTATCATAAAGGGGCAGGTAATATATGTTTATCACATATGAGAAATTAAGGTTGTATTTTCTTGATAATTAAATAATAATAAAATGAGCAACAATAACAATATGATGTAGTAATCAATTGAATGATTTTACATAAATTTCTTATATATTTTTTCAAAGACCAATATTACTAGACCATCTTGGAGCTTTATTACTCGTAGATGACTCATGCTTAGGGTCCGTTTATGGCAGCTTATTTGGTGCGGCATATTTTCAGCTGTTTGGGTAAACTGCATTTTGACAGCTTATGCGCTTTCAAAACACTGAAAACAGCATTTTCACATCACACCTGTCTAGGTGCGTATGTCTAGGAGCAGTGGCTGCTTTTTGGCTTTTCCAAATAACTACCGCACCTAGCTTATCAGCTGATTATTTTGAATCAGCTTATCAATAGATTATTCAATAAGCTACAACCGCCTCAAACAGACCCTTAGCTTTCATGAAAACTCAAGCGAATGTTGAAGGCTATTAGCTTAATGTACGTGCATTAATGTATTTTTTTTTATTTTAAATTAATTGAGTAGAAAATGGTAAAATCTTATTAATGAGTAAGAAAAAATCAAAATTAACTATATTTTATCTATATTTCTAATAATATATTTAAATAATTATAAACTATTTCAAATTTATATATATAACGAAATTAATCATATACATTTTCTTATACTTAATGCTTTTAGGTGTTACAATTCTTATGTATTTACATATCTAACACCTAAACTTTTTCAATTACATGCATACCACTCAAATCTTTAACATCACATAAAACATGCAGCTATTACTAACTTCTAAAAAGTGAAATACACAATTTCCATGCATAGGCTTATCATCATGAAACCAAAATGTTATAAATGTAGACCAATTTCCCTATGTCAATGGCATTTAATAAGACATAAAACATCCACATTTCTACTACATAAAAATACATTTTTGCGAAACTAACTATGAACTGGTTGAGCTTGCAAGTTGAGACCCAAATCGCCTTAACATGCATGATCGTGCCGAACAATCAAACCAAATCAAATTTTAGATCAAGAAGAAATCAAACATGTACGGCCTTTACTCGAGTCCTAGCGACTCAAACTCAAACTCAAACTCAAACTCAACCATATAAATCAATACAACTCGACCGATGCGAAGCCAAGCTAACTCAAACGTTGATTCATGATCTTATGCATAGGTAAGATGGCAAGTAAAATTGAAGTTTAGATGTTTGAGATGTAAATACATGGAAAATGAGGGTATAAACGTAAATCTTCCTTTTTCCATTCTTTGTTGCAGGTGGAATACTATATGCAACCTATGAAGATGGGCACTAAACTGATTAAAGCACAATGTAAATTAGCTGAGATGTTGTCAATTGTATATGATTTTTATAATTATTTATTATAATTTATTTAAGAAATATTTACATACATACCACTTAATTCCTATGCATTTACATATCTAACAACCAAACTTCTATTTTTACATGCATGCCTACTTTACTTTGTCATAAAAAAAGCCTATTTAACATATTTGAAGTTAAAATCATGGTGCTATTGATATGATATGAAAGCTTTTGGGTGGTATAAATGAAGCAATTAAAATTAAATTGTTCGATATGTAAATACATAGGAATTGAAGGGTATGTATGTAAATGCCGCTTTATTTAAGCCTTTACATAAAAAGATGTAATCAAATAGGTAAAATCTACATTTTAGGAACATTTATAATGTGCTATTCAAAATTTGAGTACTATACATGTTAGCATGAAAGTTCATGGGTTAGATATGTAAATATGTAAATTGCATGGTAGGTATGTAAATACTCCTATTTCATATATCAGGGTCACAACATTCAAAACATGCAATAAAAGAAAATATAAAGTTGATGACAGCAAACTACTCAAAACAATTATAAGCAAGCACTAAAAACAAAATTTGTTAAACAATAGGGATAATTACATAAATAGCCCCCGAAACATCGCTATTTACAAAATGTAGCAGCCCGGTGATATTTTTGAACTATCGAACTGATGTATTCACGCGTGACGCGATCAAACTATTGAGAATTTGATAAAAATGAAAATACGGGTTGGCATTTTATCATGAATTTTGGGTGCCAGATTTGTAAATAACAATGTTGCGGGTGATATGTATGCAAACAGCCAATAATAGTAAGGCCATTAAAACTAATAAACCCAACCCTACATCAATGAAGAGTTGTTAACCATGGTTTATGCAACATGTTCTATTATAACTCAAGTATAAATTAAATTGGATTAGTGTTCTCTATAACTAATTTTGTTATTTTGATTTCCTTTCAAAGAGTTTAAGAATACCAGAATCAACCAAAGGCTGCAGCTCAGAGTTTGTGAGATCTCTTACACTGGGTTCTGATGATTCCAGGAATGCAGAAACCACCTTGCAACTGCAATGAACATCAAATTGAAATTTACATGATGCTTATGATTTGGGAATTTGGCATTAAATTTTCAATATTTATTTTTTGAGGCATTTACATGCATACCCACCCATATCCTATGTATTCACATATCCAACCCCTAAATTTTTACTTTTTACATGTACACTACCCAAAGCTTTCACATCACATCACATCAAAAGTACTATTCCTTTTAACTTTTAAAAAAATGAAATACAATTTTGCATGCATATGAAAGGAGGTATATATGTAAAAATTAAAGAGTGACGTGTCAAAATAGTCCCTTGTTTAATTACACGGATCATTTTAATCCCTGAGTTGATAAAAGTGTAAAATTAGTCCAATACTCTTTCAATATGAGCTGAAAACGGGATCGACTCCAGGACTAAAATGACCCCTAGACAAAAAAGCCAGGGGACCATTTTGACACTTTTGTCAAAAATTAAGATTTAGATGTTAGATATGTAAATACGAAGGAATTGAATGGTATGTATGTAAATATTCCTTATTTGGTTACCTGTGACCGTGGGCCCACTTCTCACTCCTTCCTTCCAAAGCCATTTTCCATAAGGTTTCAGCAAAGGAAGGAGATTCCAATATGAGTTTTCTGATAGTCCTGCTGGAGTGAAAGTTCTCAAAAACATGTTCTTTTCCAGATTCTTCAGAGTTGGGAGAAGAAGCTACAGAAGCTATTGCATTGTGCAGATCAGCTAATTTGTTATTTAGAGTGTGTAGTATTCCATCACTTCCACCAACGGCTACCTACAAGAAATAAAAACAGAACTTCAAAAAAATACATAGGAATTGGGTGGTACGTGTGCAAATTATTAATGTAAAACATATTCAAAATATATTAAAAATGAAGACTTTATCTTTAAATTATTAAAAATGTTAAAAAGCTTGATATTTTATATCAAGTAAAACATGATATTTTATATCAAGTGATTTTTTATTATTTATCTACTAATTACTCATTCTATTTATCATTTTACTATAACAATAGCTTGACTTAATATTGTTTTTTTTCTTTTTTATAATAAACAGCTCGGATCGAACTCATAAAATTAAGCTTGGGTTCAAGTTGAGAGTGACTCGAGGTCGGCTTGACTCGTTTGCCAGATTCTGATCTTAATGAAAGAGT